AGGTATATTCCAGTATTTTTGTTTAACATATTAACTCACGAGAAAATGTTCGTACATTTATCATCTACTATTAATTATTTTTTGATGATTAGTCTAAAACATTCAATACAACCATTAAAAAGTAGTACACATCGTCGGGCATCGAACTCCCGATCGCCGGGTGCCCGCACCTAATCAAAAATACGAGGCGGTTTAGTCAACTAGGCTATAACGGATCCACGGGAACGGGAGTAAAAATAGCATACAAAAGACTCGGGCAATGGGCGGGGCTTATCACAAGAGACCTTGCGACGCTTCGTTGCTGAGAGAAATGAACCAAGCACATTGCTGTAGGAGCCATGCTTCGCACTGTTTTCATGTCTCCCAGGGTTCATCTCAACATGCATATGTCATCGCGGCAGTAAGCTGAGGCGATATTAGTTTATCCATGAATTAAATCAATCAATCGAGCTCTGATTTTGACTTCTTTGTCCGTAACGAGTCCTCCAGAACAATTTTCCACCTTGTACGATGGTTATTATTTCTTTACTTCTATTTTTCAAATTTGAGGTGGGATAATGGCGGCTTCTCAAGAGCAACGAGGTAGGCGATCTTTTGCACCAACGAACAGAAAACTGATGGCGAAAAATAACCAATCAGAACCTCCCAAAAAAAAGAATTTGCCTAAGAACGGAACTTCGTGGATCTGCGCAGATTTACCAGTCAGACACGACGTCTTAAGGTGGAAAAAAACTCGCTGAAAGCGAATTTTAGCAATCAACACAACTTGACGTAGAGACATGATTGGCTAAAAAATACAACGGTTTTTGATACATCGGAAAATCAACCAAAAATCGGAGACTGGGCGAAACGCTCAAGGTCGCAGAGGTATAGGGAATCCCATTGCGAAAGCAACGGAACGATTGTAATATCATGGGGAACTCCGTTCCCATGACAAAAGAATGAATATTCATTACTTACCCATGAAAAAACGTTCCATCAGAAAAAATTGCAATATTTAGAATAGAGTTACGGATATTTTGCTCTGCACGGCAGAACTCGTGGCACACATTTGGAAATTCAAATGAACTACCAGACAACGGGAAAATTTAAGTATCTCATTAAACTTTCACGTAGAGCACGATTTGCAAAACGACAAGCACTGAAAATAACTTGTAACAAATATATAAACCTTTCGATGCACAAATTTAAAATTTCCCGCTTTTAAAAAAAATAATAATAAAAAAAAAACAATATTTGACTTTGGTTGAATTGCACACGGAACGTTACCGTAACCGTCTTTGCGGATTGAAAATACAAGTATCACAACCTCAGTATCGGCGTTTTAACGAAAGGCGGATCCAGCAATTTGGCAACACCAGATTTCTTCCATTTAAACCTATGCTAAATAATCGATTCTTGTCAGAGCACCTGACCCCTTCAAGAATCGACACATTTCCAAAGGTTTAAATGGAGAAAGGACAATGTTGCCAATTTGCTGGATCTGGCAATTGTTTCAATTCATTTTTTTAATATTGATTACACTCCGCCCGGCTAACACAGCTGAGAAAGGAACACAAATTATTGAGAAGTCTACTTAAACCTTTGTAAGCGATTTAATAGTAGACTCTGGTTTTATGCAGTAAGCGGGAAATTCAAATATTTCAAAGAAATTTGGGGGAAAAAACATTAATATCTTAGTTGGGGGTTAATTTTAGAATTTTCAGTGCGCATATCGTGTTCGACATAAAATTTTGAAGAGGCGAAGCATAAGTCAGGATGTTCGAAACTCGTACCTTGCAGTGGCGTGGCGTGCTTTGCGATCTATCGATATTTCCCGATTTGAAGCTGGGGTAAATAATCGATTATTAAGGTGTTCGCTGCAAACACCCTGTATATCGATACTTTTCCATAGGTTTAAATGACAGATCAATCGATACATCGCAAAGCACGCCACGCCACTGGTACCTAGTCTGGTGGTCCGTCCCATTCCCGCTTTCCGGACTCATGTCACGACGAGAGACACTTTAAAAGGTTTCAGGAATACGTTGTTCGTGAAATAAACTTGAAGCCCATGTGACTGTTAAAAAAGAGAGCAAAAGGCGACAGGGTTTGTCGGGTTAAAACTGTGGCGTCTCATTGTTGAGTCCCTTTCCCTGACTGGGAGATAAGTAGGCACTCGTGTTAGAGGGAAGCTTTCTCTTCCGCCTCTTCAGATCGACTCGGAGGGAGGCGCCATCTTGCGAGATCTTTCACTCTCGCTTTCTTTTTTGAAAGCCACTGTAGAGCCGTGAGCCACTCTTCGGCTCCCTTTAAGTTTAACGTCCCTCCCGCGAAGGATCTTGTATCGGAGAAATGAGAAAAGCAAAAGCTTGCAAATAGCAACAGCGTTGCGTTGGATAGCAACATGCAGAATATCCATGGTGTAGGTGCAGAAGTGCGTACACTGGGAAAAAAAAACACATAAGATCTAGAGTCCAGACTCTCAAAAACATCGACAAGAAAAAATACTCTTGATTCAGATCTAAGCTTAAATCAAGAACCAAGCCTCTTGATTTGAGCGGCTTTCCTTTTGATTTAAGCTTAAATCTGATTGAATCATGAGTCCTTTTTCTTGTCAATGTTTTCAAGAGTCTGGACTCTAGATCCAATGTGTTTTTTTTTTTCCAGTGTAGCTCGAAAAACACGATTTTCCAGGAGAGTAAAAAAACGACCTTCTTTCCTCTTTTTTGTTAGTAGAATGGTAATAATTCTTGAGGATAGCAAGAGGAAGATGTTTTTTCAGACTCCATCACCATTTTGAATCATTTCTCCAACTGTATAAGAACTGATGAAGCTATGACTCGATTGACTCTGATACAACTGACCGTTGCGATGAACCGACAGTTCATGATTGCATTATTGGCCCGCAGAGAGTGATTAATAATGGTCATGAACGCCGCGCGCCGCTAGTAACAGGTACCTATACGAAGAAATGATAGTGGGGGGCTCTCAAGTGATAAGCATTCAGCAACTTTTCAAAACCAACGAATTTCCGAAAATATATAAAAATACAAAACAGCTGATCAGCTTACGTATGCTGTAGGGGAAAAATACTGAGGAGAGCGCGTTGTGCGTGATTCGCGCCGGATCAAATGAAGGGGCCAGAACGAGATACGCATTTCTGCAATGGAGAATTTGCAAGGGTCTGAAATTTGATGAATTTCCTGTTTAAGTGGAATCCTCTGAGTGAACTGAACACGAAGATACCCTTGATTCATAAATCGAGCAATTATTAGAGGAGATATGACAAAATAACCGATTCTGCTAANCAAAACAGCTGATCAGCTTACGTATGCTGTAGGGGAAAAATACTGAGGAGAGCGCGTTGTGCGTGATTCGCGCCGGATCAAATGGAGGGGCCAGAACGAGATACGCATTTCTGCAATTGAGACCAAGATACTCGAAAAAAGTTCTCCTGTTCCAGGTGACTTCCCGATTTTTTTCGATTATAGTCTCTTGCTGGTAGATAGACGACATCTTCAACAATACGTTTATACAGCTAACTTAAAGCTGTCAAAAACTGAGATACGCACTTCTGCACTTTCACCATCGATATGTACTCTTGCATAGTTACAGGGTCGTCAAAAAGTCCGGCTCCCCTTATTAACTTTTGAATGATCACAACTGTAGTCCGAGAGCCCGACAACATTCTGTGACACAATTAGGACAAAAGTTTTGACCACTTAAATCTGAGCTGGCACGGAAACTGATTGTCTGCCACGTGTTGGCACATACTAAAGCGCGGCCAATGATCATTTTCAGTGTCAGTGTATGTAAGGCTATTGATTGAAGTGGTCAAAGCTTGTGTCACGAGTTTGTCGTAAAATGTCATCGGGCTCTTGGACTACTAGAAATACAAAACTCTAGGGATACAATATTAGGTCAATGGGACCATATTGCTTTTGGTCAAGTCGAAAATGCTGGAGCGCCGCGCCGTCCTAAGGCAAGTAATTGGGCCCTAACTCAATTTTTTCTATTACCGACCTCCCTTTATTGATACAATAATCAGGAGTGCGTAAAAAAAGAAGCATGTTGGCGCAGACCGTTAGCTTCTCAAAACTGAGGTACTAAAACCAGAGCATTAGGTAGAGTTTTGCAAAAATTTCAGGAGAAAAACGCCCATAGACGTCAAACCGAACAGGATTTGGCGCTTGGAAGTTCATTGTGCACAAAACGTAGTTCCGAGAAAAAATTATATAATTTCGCAAACTGAGCTCGATAATATTTGTTGTTGAGTTTTACTGGCGATATGCAGTGCACACAGTCGCAGAACCAAGTCACTAACCGCGATAATGCGCCATGCATTGTCAAGTAATAATTAGCTATTCAGTTCTTAACTCTTTCTTCCCGCACTCAATGGGGTCAACGAAACATTGCCAAAATATTTAAAACTTAAGGTTACTTGACTCATTTTTCTGCTAATTTTTTGTAAAAAGGTTTTATTCATTTAAAAAACTTATATGTTAACATCGAAAGAAAATTTGATATTTGACTCGGGCGGAAAAATTTGCATAAAGAGTGTTTTTCTTTTTTTTAAAGTGTAGTGACTCTGATTGGACTTAACGGTGGTGCCTTCGTCTTCATTTGTTTTCCATTCGAGAAATGAAAGATTAGCGAAGTAATCAATTCAGTGACATTCCTAGCAATATTTAGGTATTAATCATTTTGAGTTCAACCAATCTGAAAGTGCTTCGTGAGATCGTTTATGGAAAGGGGACTTGGTCTCCTCATGCAATTTGTTCAGGGAAGTTTTTCAAGAGAACAATTTCCGTTAATTTCGATATCCTCACTCTTACACTTCAAAACGAAACGTAAACATTCAGTTTCTTCTACAGTATGTGTCATTTTTCTTATACAGTTACGTATGTAAGACTTGTCTTTCTCGAGATCAGAAAATTCACGCATAACGAAGTACGAGTTCTGAACCCTTTAAATTACCCTAAGCACTTGGCACTCTGACGTGCTATGAAAATAAGGGTCAGGAAGGGTAAAATGAATAAGTGACATCTCAGTGACCTTACAAAACCATTGCACTAATTTATAGAAGGGAGCGCCTTGACAAGAACAGCCACTATTATCTTAAATAAATTACTCTTTATACTCATTGTAAGTATAAGAATTAGACTAAAAACTAAAAGTCATGCATGCTCTTTCGTGTTTGATGTTTCTCTGCTTGTGGACGTTCGCGTTCCAATTCCTTCAAAGTACTCCTGACGATTCGTTAATAGTATCGACAAAATTCGGAGACGTTCGAGGAAAGATCTTCGTGACGTCGAAAGGACGGAAAGTGGCAGGATTCACGAAAATCCCGTATGCTCAACCTCCGATCGGAAAGAATAGGTTCAAGGTAAGTTATCAAAAGCAAAGTGTATTCAATTGTTAGATAAACATGACATGAATTTTAATGGTGGGGCCGGCCGGTCAGAAGCCTTCAGCATAATTTTTCAATAAATATTTTGTTTAAAAATGCGAAGAATTTGACATAAAAAAGCGTCCTTTATCTGCAAAAAAAAATTCGAGCACGGGATAAACATTTTTCGATTGTATCGAGTTAAGAGTAGAAAACAAAAACCTCTTTAATGTGACCATCCTCGAGAATAGAAAGCTGATCCCCGGAAACTTCGAGACCGAAATGATGACATCTACATCCAGCGGCAATTTTTACATCTTGACCACACTGTCGCCCCCTTCCCATTTGAATCGGCTGTCCTACGGACATTTAAATTGACGGAAGACTGTCTTAAAGCTTGAAAAAATATGAGAGCAAAGCTTAGAAAGCGTGGGTTTGAGAAAAATTTTATTTCAGGCTTGATGTGTCATGTTAGAGACTCAAAATTCGTGTATTTAATAGTAAAACTACGCCCCAGCTTTATCGACGCAACTAAATTTGACAACTTATTCCTTCAGATTCTATAGGAAACTTACAAAAGGAATTTTTTTTACTGAAAACTGGTCTCTTCAAAAATTTTCATCCACAAACTAAGGTCTCTTCATTCCCTGGGGACGATCTCATATTTTTTCAGTTACTGTGGCATTATTTTTACTATAGTAAACAACGGTTTCTGAAGAATGTTAAAATATTCCAACCTAGTAATAACACAACGAATTCTGGCTGTCAATAAATTGAATAAATATTATTTAAAATTTATATTCTGGCTGTTATTATATTTGTCATTATATTATGGCTTGCCATTAAATTTAACCCACCACGCGCCGATGATGGAGGGCAGGTAACCTCCGAAACGCGTCCGCTTCCGTGAAAAGAAGATTTTATGCAAGTGAGTGGTTCAAAATTGTCTTAAAAGTTTTTTAAATTTTTTAGAATCTTAAATTAACCCACCACGTTTGAATTATTTATTATTACTAATAATATACATCATTATGTTCTTATTTATTTGCTTCTCTAAGCCACCAAAAGCGCTCAAGCCTTGGAAAAAAACATTGGACGCCACGGAAACCTCACCACTTTGCGTACAACCCACCCTGAGCAAACCTGGTGAAGGTGAAATAATAGGCGAGGAGGATTGTTTGTACTTGGCCATCTACACACCTCAGGTGGATTATACTAAGTCTATGTGCTATCATATTAATCTGTCACTGCGGTGAGGTGTCATCAGAGACAAGGTTTTTTTTTTTTTTTTTAATGGAAAAAGAAAAAAACTGGAATGAGAATTAGGTAGTTCGACGATGAAGCTGCATGTTTTCAAATTTTGGAATTCTTTTTGATTACTATTTTAGTGAATACCGCGAAGCGAAAGGTGATGCGATTTTGTGATATCCACTTGGACGACACAACTTTCAAAGCCATTTCGAACACAACGTTTACAAATTACGGTGATGATGCATGGCATACCAAGTTAACTCTTACTTTCTTTCATCAGAAAGGTTTCAAAATCTTCAAATTATTAATCTATGGTAGTCAAATAGTTAATCGATTCATTCAACGGGTTTTGAATCGTCCTTGTAATAATGGAAGATTGTGGCTGTAATGTACTTGATCCAGGGATTGAGATATTTTCTTCAGAATATGACGGATCTCAATAATTTTCAGAATTGTAAGAAAGTATTTCAGGGACCGTTCAAAATATGTATAACGCTAAATTCCGATTTTTCGACCACCTTCTTCCCCCTCATCCAACCATCGTAACGCTTTTTGACATACCACCGTGCTGAGGAAAAACGCCGTATGAACCTTCAGGCGTTGCCAGATTTCCTTTGCTATAACACGAATATTCTGGTAAACTTTTGAATATTTTCCATCCCATTTTTCGTATAATTATCTTCGCAAATTCACCTAAAATTCCTGAAAATTTCAAGGAAAAATATTCATGACTCTCCTAAATAATAAAAATTTTATGGAAGGAAAGGCAACTCTCGAATGTTCATACGGCGTTTCCCCTTAGCACGGCAGCATAGGTCACTATCCTTCAACACGCACGAACAAAACAGCGTAACAGTCTCCTCGATCCCCCCTCCCTCCCTCCCTCTCTCCCTTGAGTGTTACGTATTTTATGAACAACACTCAGATTATTATTTCACTTTTTGTTGTGTGTTAATTTTTAGTTTTGTTTCATTTATAGGTACCAACAAAGAAGGAGAGGGGTAAATTATTTCCTGTACTGTTTGTTATACCTGGCGGTATATGGGAAATAAACGGAGTGACGCGACCCGAGGTGGACCCAGATTTTTACCTCAACAAGGATATGGTACTTGTGGCATTGAACTATAGAATAGGAGCACTAGGTAACCGTTGGTTTGCCTGACGCAAAAATTAAATAAGTTTTCCATCCTCATTGATAAAAGCACCTATCTGGACAAGAAAATTAATTACTTTTCTAAAATAGGCTATGCAAGTCAGCTTTTCCCCGCAATTTTAATCTGTTGAAATTACTCTCAATCCGCACAGAAACGAGCCTCATCGAGGAGAATATATTTCGAAAACATGTCTTTCATGTAAGAAAACATTAAACTGGGACTTTGATAATTTTTGTTAAGGAAATGCGAAAAAAATAAAAATTAAAAAAATAATAAATAAATCGATCGATCACTCAGCGAAGAATCCACTTAATGGACACGAAAAATTTATTCAGCCTTTCAGATTTGGACCGAGTTTAACAGAAAAGAAACAAGCCACATCAGCTTTTACCAAGTTTAACTGGGCAATTAAATTTTTTACGAGAGAGCGTTTATTCGAATTTCTTTGAAAATTTAAAGGAATTCGCTTCGTACCATGGAGAATTTTCACTGAAATTTGCACGAAAATCCACACAACAGTTTTCATGTGAAAAATTAAATTGCCCAATTAAATTTGGCAGCAGCTGATGTGGCTTGGTTCCTTTCTGTTTAACGCGGTCCATTTGATCGAATGCAGCTATCCCAAATTGAATTTTTGAGATCTATAGGGACGAGATGAAGCGGGTGTTGTGCGCCCTGCGACTATTTATTAGTGTGAATCATTCCTCAAACAGGAGCAGAAGCTATGTTTGCGAAAACAAGTCATTCTTCCTGTGGTAACACTTTCCTAACTAACTAACTAACTAACTAACTAACTAACTAACTAACTAACTAACTAACTAACTAACACTCCATTTAAATCGTAAATAATACGTATCGTATAAATATATAATAAAATTAAAAAATTGTATTTACATTTCATTTTTAGTGGTAAAAGAAACTTAAATTTTGTTATCTGCAGGCTTCCTATCAACGGGTGACCTTGTGCTGCCAGGTAATTGGGGATTGAAGGACATTATCTTCAGTCTCAAATGGCTCCAAGAAAATATCTCGAGTTTTGGGGGCGATAAGAACGCCGTCACGATTTTTGGAAATAGCAAAGGAGGCGCTGCTGTTCAACTACTTCTTTACAACGAACCTGCTGTCAACGCCGGTATGTCACTCAGTCGGTATCATCGAAAAACAGCCTTAAAGATCATAACTTCAGAAAATCAACATAGAAACTCACGATCTTCAAAGAATAAATACCGGGTGCTTTCGTCTGAATATTTACTTAATAATCTCAACTCATCCTGAGGTAACTGATTTCTTTCTTAGTAAGAAGTGTGCGTTCAAGAGCATGAATGCCCCAAAACATTTCAATACTTTAAAAATTGCGACAAAAATGACGTAAATTAACAAAAATTCCGGACCTTTTTGCGGAATTTCCGTGCTTTTCAGTACTTTCGGACCGCTCTTAAAAAATCAGTACTATTCCCGGACTTTCCGGAAATTTCGGACACGTAGACACCCTGAATAGCTACCAATCCTGGCAAGAGCCCCATGGAGACCTATTTTATTTTCTTCACGTTTCTTATTCCTGCCTTTTTTCCTTTCCTTCGAATCACCAGGTTTGTTTCGGAATGCTTTTTCATCAGACGGTGTTCTGGATGACGTTGGCTCGGTCTTTCCGATCAAAAATATGACAATACCATCGAAACGACTTGCAGAATTACTTGGCTGTCCCAGTGAGCCGTCACTCGCTCTTATGAAATGTATGCAGACAAAACCATTCAGGGAAATTGTCAGAAACCAAGATCAAGTGCGTCTTGTAAGTATTGAGATTCAATCTGTATAATTATTTTGATTCAAGATGTTATACTTATAATTCGCCCAGCAGTCCCAGCACCTACGCCTGATGCAACGTATGAAGGGTTCGTATTCAAAAACGGAAAAATCCTCCCTATGACCGCTCTCCCTCTCCCTGGATGTCGATCAAATTGTAGTGCGTAATTCCTTCGTAGAAGAAGCGCCTATTCCTGAAAATTTCAAAGTCTCGAACGATTCCCTACCGAAGTTCTCAGGGAAAATCCCCTCGCATGAACATACTTGGATTTTTCATAGCTATGCAGAAGAAATAATGCATTTGTTATCTGAAATAAATATGCCGATGTATTACGACGCCTGCTAAAAAATAAAATATTTAATAATTAAGTAAATAAAAAGGAAATTGAAGGAGAGGTCTACTGATCATTCAGTCTTTCTTTTTTAATTATGCATTACTTATGAGTCAGAGTTAAAGATCTAGATTAAAAGTTGATATTCGTTACGTTCATACACATCAGTCTCTATTGGATGCAATTCTTGCTAATTGAGAGCACAGTTTTTCTCCATTTTAGTCTATTTAAAACATCGATTCTTAATGAGGCCAACCCATAGTCGATTCTTTTACATACATATAAAGGAGGAAAAACATTGTGACTAAATTGCAAGAATATTCAACGCAAAATAGAATGTTACTATGTCCATTATCTCTAAGTTCCTTTGCTCCAATGTGAGAGCGTATTTTGCGTCGAATTGCAATTAGCAGTGTTGCCAAGCAAGGAAAATTCTCTTCATTTTCTCTAAAGCAGCACTACACCTAAAAGTAGTATCCGACACAAAAGGAGGCACTCCTCGATCAGCCTCTTTAATAAACAAAAAACATTCTAAATAATTTGGTCTTAATAATTAAGCTGTCTAAACCGCAACTTTCGACGTTCAATAATAACCGAGATATTGCCCTTTGAAAAGTCGGGTTTTTGACGTCATCCGCCGCGGCAGTGACACCCTTGGTTTCTTCCTCCTTGCTTCCATCCGAGTTTCACGTTAAACAACCAGTGCAAATGTGCGTCACGCTGACTTATGAAAGCAAGGTGGAAGAAACCAAGGGTGTCACTACCGCGGTGGATGACGGCAAAAATCCTTCTTTTCAAAAGGCGATATCTCGGTTACTATTGAACCAAGAAAGTTGCGGTTTAGACGGATCTCATAATTTTTAGCTTATCTACAAGAAGCAAGCATCAAAACACGATTATGTCACCAGCGCAACTGACCCGTTAGAAATGTCCTTATTATCCAACAGTTGAGACTTATCCCCTACCTTTTTTTCCGTGTTATACACGAATGTATTAGCCGTTTTAGGGTGGTCTTTCCCACCGCCCCTTTCCTTGGGACTCTCACCAGGAAACCAAGGAAAATGTTAGACTTTACACGAAGAAATTCTCAACACCGCAGTGCAATTCGTATTGATAATGGACTTTCAACAGAACCCTGGAGTGCCCCCGCGGGTAGTTACACAATGGGGTCCCGTTGAGGAGTCACCCCTGGCTGAGGACGCGGCGGTGTATCCCGATCTGGACAATCCGTCTTTTCAGCCGACTCTACCCTGGGTGCAAGGCGTTAGCCTTTCAGCTGGCTCCTCATATCTATCAAGTAAGTCAATGCCCGATGAAACAGTTTAGCCAGTCATAGAATTGCATTTTAATACCTCAGTTACGCTAGCCACAGAGTAAAATGTACCGCGTTGAACAGAAAGGAACCAAGCCACATCAGCTATGGACCAGTAGACAAGGCACTTTCAGCATTCTGATACACGTTTCATAACCAAAATTTCACATAGAACACGATGCGCACAACGAAAATTACCGAAATCAACTCCTTACGAAGAAATTCAATAATTCTTGATGCGTGAATTCAAACTACCCGCTCATGAAAACTGAATGCTCTACGTGATTCACATCGCGCACTAACCGTTTATCATGACAGTCTCTGAGATATAAAAATCTGGCAACCTCAATCTTTACGCTTTGGCTCAGCTATAGCAAGTTGTTCATAGTTTGAACAACACATGATGGCAAATGAACACTGCTCGATTGAGAAGCTTGCTGAAACCGATGTAGTGCACGAGTTGACTCACGTAGAGCTTTGAGTTTCTTGTGAGCAGGCAATTCAGATTCTTCGTAACCGATATGAGATAAAAGCGTTTATATCTTCGTGAGGAGTTGATTCAGTAATTTTCGTTGTGCGAATCGTGCTCCACGTAAAATTCTAATTAAGAAACTAGTATCAGATTGCTTAAATTCGTACCTTGTCTAGTGGTCCATTATGATTTGCTAGGGGTAAGTCCCACCCCTGAGAGCGCGTCTCACCTTCCAAGTAAATAACCTCATAAGTTGGTCTAAATAAAATGGGCTCATATAGGGACTACCTCCTAACGATAGCCATAAAAATCATAAAAATCGGCCCTGTGGATCTTAATGAAGAAAATTTAGCGAATAATGAACGTTTACATCGTGTAAATGAGAGAATTTTTATCAACTTTATCACTTTATATAAAATAATCTGGGTCATGTGCTCAAAATCTAAATCAAACGGGGTCATCTATTAGGGACTATCACCTGTCAACATTCGCAAAAAAGCATGTAAATTGGCCCAGTCGAACGATATGGAGCAAACTGTGACAAAATATAAAAATGTAAATGGACGGAGAGCTTGTAGTAATGATGTTTTCTCATCAAAATTTCAAGTAGAACACAGTTTGTACAACGAAACCGAAAGGGACTTGATGAACGCTTTCTTAAAGTGGTTCCTAACGAAGACACTAACGTTTTCCGATCCGTCAAATCATACTCCCTGAAACTCACGTGCAAAATAACCACGATCACTTGAGTTTTGACTGTTGGTCTCAATAATTGGCCCGTAAGAATAAATGAAACAATAAGAGTAACTCACGATTTAGTCGTGCCATAAAATATCATTGTGCTCACCTGAAACAAAGAAGAAAATAGATTGAATTAATAACGAGTAAAATCAATTTAATAATTATAATTATTACTACTGTAGAAGGAATCAACCAAGAAAACTACAAAACAATATCAAAACGAACATCTCATTTAAAGAGGGTAATAATAAGAGTCCAAACGTTGTTTGAAAATAAGGTAACTGACCCGTGGTCTGATTCCCTGAATTGGCCGATGAATTGCAAAGTATATCTTCGCGAAGATGTATAGGTGATGCATATACGTAGGTTTTGCTCTGACGGCTAAATCTAAGCTGATCAAACCTAGGTGGAAAAATGAAGAAAGTCCGAGGATTTTGAAACTTGAGTCGATTCAGTTTTTGTTAGTTAATTAAAAAAGTCTCACTTATTTCGGTTATCAGGAAAAAAAAACATTCATCCTTATAGAAGACTGACCGCGTCCATGGCGGTTTAGGAAACACGTTTTTATGTTCATGCGTTACAAATGGACAATGTATAAAAGGAGAGTTTAAAAAAATAAGATTTTCCTCGTCGTTCCCCTCGCGAGAGAACGCAACTAAATATCAGTGTTGCTAAATTTCCCCTCGCTAATTGTATTTTTATACGGAGAATTTTGGAGGTTGCTGACTGAAATTTTCACCGATTTTTCTTCGGATCTCACGCAAAAATCAAAAGTTTTGGACAAAAATTGTAGATGTGTATTTTTGTAAGAAAATTGAAATTTTTTGTAAACTTTGCAACCTTGGAATTAAGTTATGTTGCTTCGTCCAGAAAACGACGAATTTTATTATTGCAAATTTCCGAGTTTGAATTTTTTTCCGAAGGAATTTTTGATGACAAAAGTCTGGTGGATCGTCTAGAGCAAAACCCGCGGGAAATATTGCCCTTGTTGCTCCAACTGAATTTCAAGTTTTGTCAAAGAGATATTCCGGCTGTAATCAACGCAATTATAGATTACTTCATTGGTGATCGTCCTGTTGACCGAAAATCTGAGCGACAGCTAGCAAGAGTAAGTACCATATTTCACTGTTCTCGAACCACTCGTGATCTTTGACCTTCGTATTTTCCTCTCGCGTAAATGCTCAGGTTAATTGAAAACTGATTTTTGATGATAAAGAACCAAAACTATGGCTATAGTAATTTCAACGGATGTACATATGACGTCGTTTTTATAATGTCCGTAAAATTCTCAAAGAAAGTTAAAGCGGTTATTTATTCGTTGAATAATTAAAATTGTTGTTGAAGGCTTTAGGTTTAAACCACGAACAATAAATCGTCGATCTGTAGATGAAAATAAATAAGGAAATAAAAATAGTTCTGAGGAGATACGCATTTAAGCTCAATATTTAAGAATTGCACACACGAATGATTACTCATGAATTCCCAAATGATCTGGTCTGTCAATGAAAAATAAAGAGAAGAAATACGAATAGCTTAGTAATGTATAAATTAGCTCTAATAAACCAAGATTAAACCTTGAAAAGCAATTATTCTGTGATACGGCAATGTTTCCATTGGTAGCGCTGCACACATACAGCTGTCGCTGTAGGTAAGATTTTAAGAGGCTGCACGGGAAAAAAAAAAACACATTGTATCCAGAGTCCAGACTCTTAAAAACATCGACAAGAAAAAATACTCTTGATTCAATCAGATTTACGCTTAAATCAAGCACTGAGAAAAAACTATGGTTTATAAACCTATTAGAGGTAAATATGGAACACCTATAATAGTCGTAAATAAACTAATGATTCTCGGTCTGTGAACCATACTAAGGTCTCTGTACCTAATTAAGGTACCCCGTACCATAACTAAGGTATATGTGCTATTATTATATGTAGAGGTACTACTATTAGTGGTGTTCCATATTTACCTCTAATAGGTTTATAAGCCATAATTTTTTCTCAGTGAGAACCAAGCCTCTTAATTTGAGCGGATTTCCTTTTGATTTAAGCTTAAATCTGATTGAATCAAGAGAATTTTTTCTTGTCAATGTTTTCAAGAGTCTGGACTCTAGATCCAATGTGTTTTTTTTCCAGTGTGGAATAAAAAACGCAATAGAACTGCTAACTCTGATTCTTGCCTTAATAAGGTAATTTTTAAATTTTGACACTTTTCAGTTATTCACTTGCTGGTATTATTTCATGGGTGCGCGCCAAGCAGCTTTGCGGTATTCTGGACCACTCTGGTTTTTCGAGAATATTTTCAATCAGTCGGTGACGTTCAATGATCTCTCTATGGCAGGCATTAAAGGTTAGTGCGTGATCAAAATTATCTGATGTTATTCAGCCGAGTATGCGGGCAATTGATAAAAAGGGGGGAGGAAACATTTTAAAAAAACCAGTGAATTCATGTGTTGATACTGCGTGTCATTAAAATGTCGCCAGTAACGAGCCCCGGTAGAAGATTTTTAAAAATAAAGTTCTCAAAAAATCTATAGCGTCGCAATAATTTAAAAAAAAAGAATGACTGGTTTTAGGCAAAAGGGTAAAATTGAAACAATTATTTGAAAAATTATTTGCAGCGAAAATATCAGAAATGTCTTCACAGTACAGTGGAAACCGGATACAACGACCTTCTGGGCACCGGCCTAATTTGGTCATCATATTCGAGTGACATTATAACCGAGTCACGGATGCATTGAAAATTGGGATTTCAGCCACGGAACCGACCAGATTGCACGTCGTCAAAAACGATGTCGTATTCTCCGATTTCCAATCTGCGATGAATTTTCGCGGGTAATTGGGTAATTTCAAAATTTCTCAGAGGTAATGTAACCCCTCGTTAAAAACGACGATATAAATGTTCGGACTCTAACAATAATTCCATGAACTAGGCTAGACTAGGGATATATAATCTAGCATCAAGAAAAAATGAAACATTCCCTGATTAACTTAGAGATGCGGAAAGAAAAACAGCGAAAGAAAGTTCAATTGAACTGATTATATTCCAAATCACGAGAGCGCCAGAATTGCGAATGCGAGAAAAACAAGAAAAACTGTTTTATTCGCTTTGTTGACAATCTTCGTATACCAAAAAAGGTGTGTTGAAATGAATTTATGTTGTATTTTGAAATCAGACATGACTGATGATACCGGAGAAAACAAAGAAAGTCCCCTCCGCCACTGAATAGAGATTTGCGCCTGTGATTTGGAAAATATTCGGTTCAATTGAGGCGCTGCGCTCTGCGTGCAGAAAAGGCGATTCTTAGTTGAAACTTTTGTTGAATTTTCGTCATAATTTCACAATGCTGTAAACGAAAAATTCTGGAACATTCACCCAATAGTTTATTTTCTATAATCTAACTTAGGAGTAAAGATTCTGAAACACCGCAACCAAGAAATACTCTTCCTGCACCCAACGCCTCAATTATTATCTGTTGAAAAGGTGGATAGAAGAAGGGATGCGGATGGAGAGAAAGATAGGTATATTGATATGGGGATCGATGGGCAACAAATGAAATATATATATTTTGTCTGTTCAATTATGCTTCTCAGAGAAACCGACTGATCCAGATTTCACCCTCGACTCACAACGGGAGAGGATGCAGTTCCCTAATCGAACATTTTCGACGCAAGATCTTGAGAACATAGACAAGGTCATCGATATTATCTACTCATTTATGCTATACGGGTGAGTTTATTTCTATGAAGAACAGGGATTTGAAGCCAGGTTTTCTTGATTGGGCTTCGTAATGTCGTATTTTCGCAGCGCACAGTCTAACGAGTCATGGCGCGGCGTGGCACATCTTATATGCATTTTTCATGTGCCGCTGTCAGCGTAAAAAAAGTCACTCTTTCTGAATCACGCGATAGGAGAAACTATACCCCGTTGGATACCGTCAGGGATACCGATTGAAAGCCCTCCTTTTCTCTACATCAATTTTCTGTAATTACACGTAACCATATTCTTTTCTCCCCATGCAATTGCCGTGACCTAACATTTTTAGTGTATTTTCCGAAGGAAATACACTATTGCATTCTCCCATGATGTCGGACCCAGACCTGAGACATTGTGAAGAGCACCGATCACGGGTCGTAGATCACGAAAATATATGCTATTCAAATTCATGTGTATATATATATGTATGTATATATGTATGTATATATGTATGTATATATTTTAAAAATACGCCTTGTGGTTTTCTTTATTAAAATGGAAACATAGAACATAAAAAAAACCCCGGCGAAATTTCGTGATGAACATGAAACATCATTAATATAAACTTCGAAGGATTCAGACTTTCAGCGATTCTACCTTTTTTTATTTCACTCGAGAGGTTGCCAGATTGTGCGATTAATGTGAATATTTTACATGGATTTGAATTGGGAAAAGTGCTAAAAAAGCAACTTTTCTGGCAACAATAGAGTCCGGCAGGGACGAGAGGCTGCCTTCCTGGGAAAACCCATGATTTTGCCGAAAATGTCATTAAAACAATTGATTCCGTTTGAAGCATCAATTGTATACTAGGGGAAAGCTATTTTAAAATAAAAATTGTATATGGACAAAGATGCTACAGAAAAGGAAAAAGGAAATGAAATGAGGATATGATTACTAATATGCGATCAGAGAGAATAAAACAAAAACATCAGAGAAATTTATATGCGATGAAAATATAAGAAAAAAACACGAGTGGGCTCATTACGATTCGGAACTCGAACTATACTATCGTTGAGCAGTTTTTAGACCCCTACGCCACCGATAACCTTCTTAAGAGGTAAAGATGAAAGTTTGCTTCTTCAGCGAGTCAAATCGCGGAAGGAGATCCATGGATTGTCTTTTTTCGCCATCCGATGGGATGACGTCCCAGTCAAATGCGTTTTCGAAGAAATGATCGATCCCCATCATCGCTTCATCTCCACACATCTATTCATGTGCAAATGATGGCACGCTCCGGCAACAAGGTTCTATGATGAAATCATTTTTGCCTCCAGAGTCTCCAAAATGTATACATCTTAGTGATCAAACGTTCAATCACTGAGAAAAATGGCTCGCGGAGCGAGCCGAATGTCACTCGCGTAGCGAGTGATCGGGGGTCCAGGGGGCGCAGCCCCTCGGCTAGCCGTGACGGACGCGCGAAGCGCGTCCAGAACGGCTAGTACAACACTAAAAACAAATTGAGCTTGCAAAATGCCTTTGAGTTTTTGAAAAATAATTAACATCCATCATCCTTCTATGAAAAGCAATTGGCTGTAAAAAGAACCTGTTTCGCTATTACTCCTCGATAACCTAACCTAAAAGACACGGCTTAAAAATGAGAGGCTTGGAGGACAAGGCACATAAGTGCAGTTCCTGAATAAATTTAGATATTCATGAACTCAACTAAAACTAGTTTGAAAGTATATTCTGAGAAAAATTCACAACTAAAATCCAACTTTAAAGCATCAAAAAGTGAGTTTAAACTTCTTTTCCGCGATAAGACTCCATATAATTTTGAAACTTCAAACACGTATTTTTTGAAACAGCAGAATTGCACTTAAGCGCCTAATCCTCCAAACGCCTCAAATAATGTTTTTTCTTTTGGTAGAAAGCTATTTTTTTAGTGTATTTCGCGTAAGCGTGGGATTCCAAGATAGTTACAGTATTCCAGTTCTCTCTCATTTCTTCTTCCTCTTATCTTATCGTCGTTGTCTTCCTCTCTCCTTTTCTTTTTTCTTCTTTTTTTCTGCGTTTTATTTAGCTCATCTTTTTCCTTCCTTATTCCTTCTTCTGCATTTTTTTCCTTCTTCGCTACCTTCTTCTTCTTATACTTCCTCTTTTCTTCATCTTACTTTTCATTTTCTTCTCTCCTACCCGTTACCTTCCTCTTTAGTTCCTTTCTCTTATCTTCATTTCCTCTCTTCTTTGTTCTCCTTCTTCCCCCTCCCTTCTGTTTCTTCTTTCTCTTGCCTTCCTTCTCTTCTTCTTTCGGGTTTCCTCCTTTTTTCATATTTATCTCTTTACTTTTGCTTTTATCTTTTCTTCTCCTTCTTTTTCTTCTCTTTTCATCTCTTTTTAATGATATCGTGTGTCCATCCAACGAATTCGCCGACAGGGGCCGCAGCCATACGACGATTTTCATTATGTAGGGGAGTATTTAGAATCTTGGCGTACTACATCTTTGATTCTCTTCAAATGAGCATAAACCTCAGCTCCGGGTGTCTACTAAAACAATTTAGCCAAAAATCAATACTTTTACAGTATATTCTCGAGAAATTCAGTACCTCCTCAACAGAAAAATTCAGTACTATTCCAGTACTTCCAATTGACGAAATTCGAAAATTTAAGTTTCTCGCTAAAATTGCGACAGAAACGACATAAAAATGAAAAAAATTCCGCACCCTCTAACGGAATTTCCGTACTTTTTCAGTACTTCCGGACCGCCTTTAAAAAACCAGTGCTATTTCCGGACTTTCCGGTAATTCCGGACTTGTAGACACCCTGAACCTCTATCTTCTAAATCTCGTCTTTACGTTCTATTTGTGGTTTCAGCGATCCATCTACCGGCAGCGCCATTCAATGGGATCGTGCCAGACTGCCTCTGCAGCTAAACTACTTACATATGGGAGATGTATACACCCAAGAAACTGACTTCTTGCCTGAATGCGTTAAGTTTCTGGAGAATTTGAAGACAAAATATCCAGCACACGGGCTTGTTGAGCCTCAAAATTGCTCAGAACTTTGAGATTCATAACATGATCAACTGATCAGCTCTTCGGCAATATCCTATCCGCAGGGGAACTAGAGAAACAACATTTTGCATTTTTTATAATTTTTCATCTCGATGGCGCTTGTTAAAAAGATAAAATTTTTTTGGTCTATTTTAGGAATATCCAGTACACGGGCTTGTTGAGCCACAAAATTGCTGAGAACTTTAAGATTCATAACATAACCAACTGATCACCTCTTAGGCAATATCCTATCCGATCCTATCTCTATCATGGAGCCCCAAAGTTGGACCAATGTGAACAAATCCCAGCCCCTCCGCTCCTAGTTTGGCCTCATGTAAACAAACAAGATGGCGACGAAGTTCTACAAAGTTCTAGACATATTTAGGATAAGACTAGAAACTTTTTTAAGACCAACTTCTGAATTGAGTTCGGATCGACCTTTAATGGATATTTTTGTCAAAAATTAACCTTTGAGTGTGTGATTATCATCCATATCTCAGCCGATGATGTCCTCCTCTGGGTCGGGTTTATTCACACTGTACTCCATTTACTTTGGTCCAACTTTGAAGCTCCATGATAACCTAAAACTGATGAACCAATCAGAGAGCGGCACAGAGACGGCAATACTCTTTAATTCGTGTACAGGTACCCTAGCAGAAATCACCTCGATCTCAGCTATAGGACAAACTATTTGTGTTTATTCGAGGGAAGATCGGCAAGGCTGCTAGAGACGGAGACCCGCATACACCTCGCAACAAGTCTTGGCGAGGCACTCCATCGTGATGTTGCTGATGAGTGGACGAGGACAAGGGACGGGTGGAAAGCGGAGGCTTCTTCCCTCCCGTGTCCACATTCTTGGAGCGGTGCCCCAGCCCCGTGGAAAGGGTATTGATCTTCGAGTGTCCATTTATTGTAGCCGCTCACCGTGAAAATCCGCACAAAGCTCCCTCATCCCAACAGACAACACCACTAGGCAAAACCCTCCTTCAAACATCGGGCACTAACCGCCTTTTTCTTTAATTTCAATTTAAAAAATAAATAAAATAAATAAATAAACGAATCAGGGTATCCTTTGCAGCATCACCGTTTTTTCGGCACACACTGGGAAAAAAAAACCACATAGGATCTAGAGTCTAGACTCTTAAAAACATCGACAAGAAAAAATACTCTTGATTCAATCAGATTTAAGCTTAAATTAAGAACCAAGCTTCTTAATTTGAGCGGATTTCCTTTTGTTTTAAGCTTAAATCTAATTGAATCAGGAGACCTTTTTCTTGTCAATGTTTTCAGGAGTCTGGACTCTAGATCAAATGTGTGTTTTTTTTTTTGGTTTTTTTTTTCCAGTGCAGAAGAACTAGGGGTTGATATATCTTGGCCGCTACGCGGCCCAACACCTGCATGCAGAATTGTTAAAATTCATGAACAAAGCTATAGACAAAGAGGACGTAAGGAGTATGAGGCGATCTCATTGGTTGAAATGGGTGGTGCCAATAGACTAGAGGAGAAAATGATGGACTAACTATTACAGGGTTTCTCGTGGGTAGCCGTTAGTTCGTCTATTATTAATACCTCCTTTGTGAGTTTCAATCACCCCCTCCCCCCCGATGGGATACCTCCATATCCCTTTTGTCTTCTTTGCTTATCGCTTTGTCTACCAATTTCAACGATCAACCCGCAATAGACGCAGTGCGATCTCTAATCGAGAGCCATGGTAAGTTGATCGATAAAGCGGGCTCATTGAGGGACGATCTTGGCCTACCGATTGCCGCAGAAATCATAAAAATCGGTCCAGTGGATTTTTAGAACCAACTGCGACGAAATATACATTTAAATTTGTTTGATGAGATCACTTTGTCAAGTAATATAAGAACACCTAGGTTGTCCTTCCAAAATCTAAATAGAGCGGGCCCATCTACAGACTATTAGGTATTGATAGCCGCAAGAATCATGCATGGAAATCGAGCCTCTTGAAAATTAGAACGAAATGTGACGAAAAGTGGAAATTTACGAGGCCGAAGAGCGTATGATGATGGATGAAACGAGTAGTCGGTCGGCCGATGAAGGGTCACGGCGTCGGATGCAACTATTCCTCCTCTAAGGATGAGCATATCACATAACCGACAAGTTGAAGGCACTCCGAATTTCCAAACGCTCGCAACAACTCGCGTTCGTAGCCACGCCCACGCACGATACATCCAATATTTTGGTAAGTAAGCCATTAGTATTCTTGTGTAGATGGAGGCTTTAATAAACGAATAAGGAATAATGGGCCCTAACTTCAAAATATAGTCCAACCATTGAGGAAACTATAGCCGATTTTCCTCCTTACATCGGAGCGGACAGTTGACTGGCCGTCCATAGAATGCTGATATGTAGCCTACCGATTACCTGAACCAATGAGAGCGTGATAAGAATTCCAGTGTGACACGATCGACCAGTCGAATAACTCAATTACAGATAAACCTTTCCGTGCCCCATCGCCCGGGAAAAATTTTTCATAATAACCGGCCACGAGATTTACTCCGGCTGACCTAAAACCACCACGTTTTTACAATATGGCAACTCTGTATTTTGTGTTTTTCCTTATGCGGAAATGAAACAGAATAAGTAACTTTATTTTGCATGCCAATTTAGAGTGTTTATCAAGTACTACGCCTTATCAAATTAAGCCTCATTATCATATTATGCTCAACTTGTCGAGGGATTCTTAGCCTAAGATTTGACAACGATGAACTCGGAACCCGGAAAATATGTTGAAAATACAGATGAGTCCTTTGAAATTAATGGAAATCGGAATGAGGTCAACGACAAAGTATCTATTCTCCAATTGCTGAAAAATATCTACGGTCACTTCCTCGATGTATCGTAAATTTTAATTTGCAATCCTGCCGTTCAAAACAAACACGCCGTAACTTTATTCTGGATTATTTTACATTTTTTCTGGTCATCGAAAAAAAGTCTAATCAATTATTGTTATGGGGGAGGGGGGGGGGAGATATTCAATAACTTGAATGTGTTCATAACAACTCGATGGTTAAACTGCAGAAATTCGTACCTCGGTTTGCGGCGTTGCAGACTTCTCGTCATACTTTATTCTACATGGAAAACTACAGGACGTCACTTTTTGAACATTTCAGTGATTCTTCTTCTCTTTAAAAAGGATATTCTGTGAAAACTTCAAGCCGTGATGTTTACAATAAAAACAATTGACTTAGCGGGTAACACGGTTAAATGTTCACACACAAGACCAAAACGTTTCGGCTGAAAATTCAGCCATCCTCAGTTGGATAAACTCTGTGTTTTTTTGGGCTTGTTATCAAAATTGCTGTCAAAACAACATTCTCAATTTGAAAGGTACAGTCAGGTACTACTTTATGTGCTGGTTACACGCTCAAATTCCCATCAATTTCCGATCAAATGTTGACTGGTGCGCACCACCTCCCATCAAATTTCTGCGGCCTGCAAAAATTGGATGGTAGATGATGGAACTGTGGGGCTCATCAGTCATCTGATTTCCACTCAACCGTGCTTATTTCATGCTTTTTTCAATCCACACGCAGTTTTAATTAATTTTACCCAGTAATCCAGATAACTCTCGACCGCCATCTTGGTCATCATTTTGATCGGAATTTGACGGAAATTTGAGCATGTAACCAGGCAATTCGATTTCTAACCATTATTATTTTTATTTATCCGCAACTGAGGATGGCTCAATTTTCAGCCGAAACGTTTTGGTCTTGTGTGTGAACTTTTAGCCCTGTTACCCACTATTCAAATTGTTTTTTATTGTACATAACTTGTCACGGGCTGCGGAGCATCTATCACAGCCGTGACGCTTGTTCGGTCTTCTTTTAAAAAAATTGATTGGGAGCGGAGATTTCGGAACACCACGACCAAGACACGCAGTTTTGCGAGAATTCGTCGAATCGCTGTTAAGCTGTTATTAATATTCACATACGATTTTAGCAGTGCAATTTTCGAACAGCGCTTACTCCCTATCATGAATATTTGTATGTTTTCACACGTCCCTCGTGAGAGCATGAATGAAACGTTAGGGTGTGTCGGCGCAGGTGCTTTGTGGCGCACCTTTCCGAACAGAATATTAGAACATCAGGTGACAGATTGTGTGATATCGTGAGGAAATCATGAGTTCTAAATAGGAACGGTTTTAGAACCGGCTAGGGGCTCTCCATTCTTCTATACACTGCGAAGGATAATGTATGTCCCATCCATCGAGGGCTGTGTGCATCACCGCCGAAATAATGTCTCTAATGTTTTCTCTTTGAACTCCGCGATGTGAACACTGGCGTTGTCATGTGATATACTTAATATGGGCAAACGCGAATTTCCCTGGTGTATTCCTTGACGTGAATTTTCATCAGCGGACCAAACGCAACGCTTACGAAGTACGTTGTTTTCGATTCGATGACAATATAGGTCCAGAACATTAGCAGAATACTTTATTTAGCTGTTGAGCTTTTAAACAGCTTTTAGACAGCAGGATGGTGTATCCTTTGGTGTATAGTCCATCTTCAATACGTACTAGAGCGAGTTTTCTCCTTTCGAAGACGGTTATTGGTTTCTTAGCGCCTTTTTTATCTGATGACTTCGAACTTTTAAAAAATCTACTATTATGTATTTTGTTAGAACTTTGAAAGTTTAAAAAATGGTTCTAGTCGCTGTTCATAAAATGAAAGATATCATCCTAAAAATTCAACAGTCTTCAATCATGTAAAAAAAGTTATGAAAGATGCAATGAAAAGGAGCTAACAGAAGTAATTCTTTCCCTCGAGAAGCGATCAATCGATTTAGTAGTAGAGTAAAATTCATAAGACCGCATGTTAAATAATTTCCAAGGTATTTTATATTTTCAAAAGAAAAAAACGTCCTTTTGAGTGGAATGATTCATGTTGCTCGACCATGCTATTTTTCATGTAATTCATGTAAGGTTAGATTTGTTGTGCAAAACACATATCTTAGATAAGTACATTTTAGCCGCTTTCTTTTAGACGTCTTTGAATAGAAAAAACTATCTCTATTTCTGCTATTAGTTTTGTCATAGCAGGTGTTTTCATGGACAGGGGCCCAGGGCGTACGTAACAATTTTATTTGCAATATTCTCACACAAATACACAAATTTCTCCTTCAAACTTTTACATAGATCACAGCGAAGACATCAAATTCTTCAAAA